ACTGAGTGGGGTTACAGCTGAGTGGGGTTACTGCCGGGTTGGGTTACTGCCGGGTGAGGAAATGCAGGGATGGGTCAGCTGCCCTTGTGACCAGCAGGCCTGAGAGACAGTTTGCAGATGTGTGACTGGAGAGACCAGGGCAGGGCCGTGGGCATAGCATTTGATCTTGGGCATGGGAGGAACTGAATTCATAATTTGTTGAACACACAGATACACACGTCAGGCACAGTTCCAAATAGTTTTGTTTGTTTGTTTGAGACAGGATTTTGGGACAGGATTTCATGATGCAGCTGGCTGGCCTGGAACTATTTACATAGACCAGGCTAGCCTTGAATTCACAGAGATCCGCCTGCCTCTGCCTCCTAAGTGCTGGGATTAATGGTGTGTACTACCACGCCTGGCTCAGTTTTAAACAACTTACCAGGACAAATTCATTCTGTTTGCTTAACCACTCTTTGGCAGGTTCTACAGACAGGATTTCATGATGCAGCTGGCTGGCCTGGAACTGTTTACATAGACCAGGCTAGCCTTGAATTCACAGAGATCCACCTGCCTCTGCCTCCTAAGTGCTGGGATTAATGGTGTGTACTACCACGCCTGGCTCAGTTTTAAACAACTTACCAGGACAAATTCATTCTGTTTGCTTAACCACTCTTTGGCAGGTTCTACCCACATTTGAATGATGAAGAAACTTATACTCAGAGCTAAGAAACTTGCCAGACTCCCAGGAAGCTCCCTGTGTAAATTTTGGAGCTCCCTGAAGACAGGTGCTGATTGCTAATGCCAGTGTTCCTGGGAAAAAGCCTTCTGGAGGTAGCTTTTCTCTTGCCTTAATGCACAACCTGCAGTTCCTTGGGGTTAGTTCTGCTCCTCAGGGTAGACCAAGTAAGGAAAATCCTACAATTCCTAGAGCTTTGGCTTCAGCCGAGGACTCAAGACCCTGGGTGTGGGAAAGAGGACAAGAGAAGTAAAAATATCCATCAGTTACCATGAAGAAAGACTCATGACCCACCTGAACCAAGCTCTTCCTGGTAGACAGGAGCTCTGGGAGCAGGAGAGGGATCAGTGGAGGCACCTGACTTGTGCACAGTCACAAGTTACTGGACACACATGAGGAATATCCACTCAAAGACGAGAATTTAGAAAAGCCAAGGAGAAAGAGAAGTCTTGACTTCTCAGTTGCTTTTCATTGTCTCTGATGGTTGAAACACCCACCTGAGATCCCACTTCTTCAGCTGGGACCAGCCCATCTTGCTCTGGACGCTGCCCATGGTAGTGCAGCCTTGGGGGTCCCATTACCAACCCTAAACGCTACAGATCACACCTAAAACACACTGTAAGCACGTCAGCTCTGCTAACTAATTGGTCGGTGCTGGCTAATGGGTCAATGCTGATGCCGTCACCAGCACTGCTCGTTTGCTCTCTGTTCCCCTGCATTTGGGATTCCTTACTTCCCACTTCCTTTAGTGGCTATAATCTTTCTTTGTGTGTGTGTAATTAACATTTACTTTTTTAAAAGATAAATTGGATTTGAAATTTTTTTCATTTGTTATTATTATAATTGAGCTTTTAAAATTTCATACAGCATTTCCCAATCAAATCCAGACCCCCTCCCCCACCCATGTCTCCCCCATCCCGTCACTGAACCCCATGTACTCTGCCATACATGCTAAGTCCTATTCATTCAGGTGTTTGTACCCAAATGACCTTCAGTGTAAATGCATCCATTGGAGTCTAGTCAGCCCATCCAGTGGTCGTATGTAAATCATATACTTTCCCTCACCCAGCAGCAACCAGTCTCAAATTGTTCTCAGTCTAGTGCCGGCCTGCCACCTATTTCTCACCTCCACCTTGGGCCTTTGTTTAATTGAGCTCACATGGGTCCTGTGCTCAACACCACCACTGCCTCAGGTTCACATGAGCAAGCCTGGAAACCTCCACCTCCCTGTGTTCATGAACAAGCTTCTCCAAAACTTGGACAGTTGTGGCCTTTGGTGTGCATTGCACTCTGCTATACAAGGAAGCCTCATTGGTGAGAGTTGAGCATTAGCCTTCTCTCTACCCCTTATTCCACTATGTTACATGAGACTTAGCTGCAGAGATTCAACTGTAGATATGTCATCCGGTACTGGGCATCTCCCAGACTTATGTTCTCTGTGCCTGACCAGACACGCAACTCTGCAGTAGCTTCCATCTGTTGCAAAAAGAAGCTTCTTTGGTGAGTGCTGTACAGTGTGCGTGTCTGTAAATATAAGGATCGATATTTAGCATATAGTAAGAAGATTCTTTTGTCTTGAGATATGAAAGAGATAGGTTTTTCTCTAAGAACTATATCCTCTCCTGCCATGTGTATTTGGCTGAGTTTACAGTGCCACTCATGAGTTCCCTCCCATCGAGAGGGCTTTGAGTCCCATTAGATAGCTGTTGATTACCCCCCAGATAACAGTGCCACTACTGCACCAATAGAGATAGTTTGCTATGCCAGTCACCTTGAAATTATTTTTTTTTTTGAGTCCAGTCTTGTGGTGTAGCCCAGGTTGGCCTTGTAACTATCAAACCGCCTGCTTTAGCCTTCCAAGTGCTGGGATTACAGGCATGCACCACCACACTCAGTTTCAAACCAGACATTTAAAAAAAATTCTGGAACAGAAAGCTATTTCAAGCATGGACATTAATATAATTCTTTCTTTGTCCCAAGTGAACTATGTCACAGAGACTTGAAAGAATTCTTCCAGCGGGGTGGAATGTCCCTGCTTGTCTCTGTGGCTGTGGCTCTTGTGAAATCTGGTGGTCGGGCTGGTGACATTTCTGATGTTGAAGATCTCATGACATTGGGAAGTTGTGCAGAGCCTGGTGTGTGTGTGTGTGTGTGTGTGTGTGTGTGTGTGTGTGTGTAGGAGGGAGTGTTGGGGAAAGCATTTTTCTTCCCTTTTGTAAGCAAAGATCTGTTACTAGTGTTGCAGACTCTTGGCCATCCTCCTCTGTAGTGGGACAGTGGCCACTCATTCGAGGGACAGCAATGTTCAGATGGGCCACCTGTGACAACTCAGCCTGCAGCTTATGATTAATTCTCAATCTCAAATTGACCCCTGGGAGATGAATCTGGGAGGGAGTGGCTCTCCAGGTGCTGCAGTTCAGAGCATACTGTTTGCCAACAGGACGACCCTCTACTCCAGATCTTTCCCAGACTAGCTCTTCCTGAGGTAAGAAGCGACCCTGGGATCCCGATGTCTCCCATGTTTTGGCCTTCAGATCTGTTGAAGGGCACATGCCTCCAGCTTCTGCCAAACCTGACTGGGCCATGCTCCAGCTGGACTCCTTCCCAGCTGGCCTCCCTCTGATTGGCCTCCTCCCAGCTGGCCTTCCCAGGTCACTCAGGGAGACACTGGGTCTTTGCTGAAGGAGAAGCTGCTGACCCCAGATAGAGACAGCAGCCCTCAGAGGCACACACCTGCTTGTCTTCACTAGGAAGTGGGCATGTATCTCAGGAGGTTCTTCCTTCCTGGGATGGTCGTGGAGATGACCAGTCTATTTCACGCTGTCTGGCCAGTCATAGGTGCCCTGTGCCAGAATGTGGCCATTTCTGAATGATTGGGGATGGGGTGTAATTTGGTTGTCATCTGGTTAAAAAGACGAGCCAAGAGGAAAGCTGGCAAGAGATGTGGTATTTTACACAGATGGGTCTGTGCCAGTGGCATGTAATCATTTCATGGATCGCCCCAGACTCAAGGGTCTCAGGGCTTTTCAGGACCACAGTTGGGTTAGTCCAACCCTTCCTCCAACATTATATTTTAATGTCTTTAACCACAGAGAAAGGTAGCCAGCTACACTGAAGTACAGTTGTAACAGAGGTTTTTGAGTTATTGTTGGTGTATATTTTTATTGTGTTTATTAGTATGATAAATATCCTAGTTTCTTTTCTTGTGGCTGTGATGAAATATGCTGACAGAAGCAACTTAAGGGCGAAAGGGCTCATTTTAGCTCACAGCAGGGAAGTCAAGGCAGCTGGAGCTTGAAGAGGCTGGTCACATCACATCCATGGTCAGGAAGAGAGAAGGTGAATGCATGCTCCTGCTTAGCTCCCTCTCTCCATTTGTACAGTCCAGGATCTCAGCCAGGGAATGGCCCCACGCACAGTTGCCAGGTCTGCCCACCTCAGTTAATACATTATTTATGTATACAGTCATGCTAGGAAGTTCACCCCAGGTGATTCTGTCCAATTGACAGTTAACACTATCACAATACATAGTCCAGTGGTAGGTGGGACAGCTGGTGTGACTTTGAAGTGATGGCGATTGAGGGGGTGTCTGCAACAGCTCCAGTGGGGTGGAAAACATCCATTCTTCCTGGTGATAAGTGCTCCTAGTGAGCACTCTGCAACATCATATGCGGTGGCTTTCTTTCCCTGCCTCTTGATTAGTTCCTTCCCAAGAGTGTGTCCCCACATCACAGCAGACGTATTGCAGATTCAGGGACCCTCCCATGAGCTGTGGCTGACTGGGGCCCTCACCTACCTTTGTATACACCTGGCCCAAGATTTCTGCTCTGAGCTGGTTTGCATTCTCCTTACAGTGTCCTTCTCATCCCAGTCGCCAAGAGGCTCTGCCATAGGTGGAGGTCATTGAGTGTCCTCAGAAACGTATTTGCCTGGTGCCACCTCAGATTGTGACATAGACTGTTCATTATGGTTAGAGACTCAGGATGGGGCTGTAGCTCCGTGGTAGAGTGCTTACCTAGCATGGACAAGGCCCTGGGGTCCATCTCGAGTACCAAACACATGCATTTACACACCTACAAAATTGAGACCCATGCTGGCATCAGTGTGTTTAAGCATATTTTTTTTTCATGGGGAGGGTGTTGGGGAAGGTGAGTTTATCAGTTACTTTCTTTTTCTTGACATTGATGTCTCAGCCCTCTCCCTGGGGTCACAATTCCTTTCAGAGAAGACTGGAGGTCTTGCTCACAGTATAGATAACTGTTTTTCTCTCTCTTTCTGCCAGGGCGGGAACAGTTCCATGGCCTGGGCTCCATGTATTGCCGGGGGGCAGCTGCCGTCATCCTCACCTATGATGTGAACCACCCACAGAGCCTGCTGGAGCTGGAGGACAGGTTCCTGGGCCTGACAGAAACAGCCAACAATGATTGCCTGTTTGCCATCGTGGGGAACAAAGTGGACCTCACTGAAGAGCGGGCCACAGAGGGTGGGGAGAAGAAAGGACAGGCCTCTGGGGAGGCTAGTGGTGGCTATGTCTCCCCAAGGGTGCCCAAGCAGGTACAGCTGGAGGACGCAATGGCCCTTTACAAGAAGATCCTGAAGTATAAGATGTTGGATGAGAAAGACATGCCAGCTGCGGAACAGATGTGCTTTAAGACCAGTGCTAAAACCGGGTACAATGTGGACCTCTTGTTTGAGACCCTGTTTGACATGGTGGTGCCAATGATTGTTCGGCAGAGAACTGAAGAACCATCCCAGATTGTGGATATAGCCAGCTGTAAAACTCCCAAACAGACTAGATCTGGGTGCTGTGCCTGAAGCAAGAGGTCTCCCTGATGTCAGTTGGCACGTGTGGGAGCCACTGGGATCAGAAGTTTCACAGAACAGTGTGCAGAGGGTGGTGGGTGAAAACTACCACCAGTTGCCAATACAGGCCAGTGTGCACTAGCAGCCTCTGGTTAGAGGAGGTGGGCTTGAATCCTCTGCACAGCCAGCCTGGTGCTACCTTGCCCGATGCCCAGTGGCCCCGTCAGTAGAGCCCTTGGTCTGGGGATCTGTCTTGGACTTGGACTGGTACTGACTCTCTTGGTTGCCACATCCTGCATCTTTGCACTGTTGCTGTTAGGTTTCTCTCTACTGTGATTCACCTGTGGTCCTCCCATTTGATACCTTGATGCGTTATGATGATGCGCCACATTTAATTTATACAAAATCAGGAATTGCTAGTTTTTTTGTTTGTTTTTTTTACTATTTGAAGCGGTGTGGGCTACATGTGTTATTAAAAAGGATTTGGGGGGAAAGCCTTAGCATTGGATTTTATTTGAACACCAGGGAATTCTTTTCTGGGAGTGGGGTGAACTGGGGTGATGACTTGGGCCTGGCATTAAGTGATGGCTGTGAGCCTCTCTCTTTAACATTATGTCAAATCCTTACAGATTCCAGGATATGTAGATGGGTTTTGACCAAGCTGTCCCAATGGTCTGAATTACAGCAGTGGCCATGTTGAAAGCTCTTGTCTGAAGAGGACCCCACTCTGTGCCCCAAGTCAGAACCTCTTTGTGGTTCTTCTGTGGGTGGTGAGGTGGATGCTCTGCAGGAAGTTGCCAGACAAACGTAGGAGACAATCGTATCTGTGTTCTTAGATATTTAATTGAGAGCAAGCAGGCAGGAGTTGGGGATTTGCGAAGCCCAGCAGGGTGGAGGCCAGCCTGTGCCAGATCCATGGGTGGATTTTGCTAATGTTGCTGAAGGTCTGTGGCTTGGTCGCTGGACTGCTGCAGCCTGAGTGGTTGTGCCCCTGAGAAGCCTTCATTTATTAGGTGTGTGGCTAGTCAGTGTGAGAGGTGGTGCTGCACCTGTAATCCGAGCATGTGATAGAACGTTGCAGCTGAGGCTTCCTCGTGAGAAAGTGGATCTTGGAGCCCCAAACTCTAGCTTCACAATAGCCTGCTGAAAACTGAAAGCAAATCAATTTTTCATTGGTGTGTCTGAATGTACCCCAGTAGGGTACAGAAGATAAAAGCTCCTGTGAGTGAATCCTGTCTTTGCCAGTGACACAGCTAGGAAACTGCGACTCAGAGACCCCAGGTTCTTTACACGTCAGAGGGATAACTGTTGTCATGTGACATGATTTTTGCAGTTCATGTCTGAGGTCTTAGGTGGGCAGATAAATTCTCGGGATCCTTTCTGAGTGTATTAGGGTTCTCTAGAGAAACAGAGCGGTTTGAAAGAACACACACACACACACACACACACACACACACACACACACTATTAAACTAGCTTATGTTGAAATAGTAACAATAGGTTACTGTTGAGAGGCCGAGAGCCCAGTAGTTGCTCAGTCCTTGAGGCTGGGTGGTGTCTCAGCAGTCAGAGTAGTTCCACAGTGGCTGTCTCACACTGAAGAGGGTGAGATCCCGGTAGTTGCCCAATCCATGGGGCTTGGTGCCTTAGCAGTCCTGGGTACCCCTAAACTGGAGGGCTCCTGGAGAAGTGCTGGTCCTTAGCTATGGAGGCCTGAAAATGCTGATTCTGATGTTAGCAAAGGAATTAGCACCAGCAGCAACAGGATAAATTAACCCAGCAACAAGAAGGAAAGTCAGGTTGGCAAAAGGTGAATAATCTTCCTTCTGCCACACCCTCTTTATCTGGTTTGTTACTACAGCAATGAAAGCAATCAGGACAATTCCTCAGGTGAGGCTCCCTACTCAGGTGATTCTAATTTGTGGCAAGTTGCCATTAAGAGCTATCCAGGGCTGAGAAATGACTCAGAGGTTAAGAATACTTGCTGTCCTGCCAGAGGACCCAGGTTCCATGGTGGCTAACAACGTTCATAACCCCAGTTCTAGGAGATCTGACACCCTCTTCTGACCTCTACAGGCATTGCACACATGAGGTGCACTTACATACATGTAGGCAAAGTACTCATACACGTAAAATAAAAATAATAAATGACATTTTTAAAGCGACCATTCATCACATTGAGTAGTCTCCAGCTCCCTTCCTGTCCTCTGAGCACCTGACTGCTGTTTCCTTGAATGACTGTGGGCCCAGGAACTGGTATTCCCAGACAGTTACATTTCAGTGCACCACTATTTGTTATAGAAATAAAAGTCACTATGGGCTCCTTTCAAACTGGTTCCTTTCATTGCCAACGGTTTTATACTAGCAACTTCACTGGCCCTGCATGATCTTGGTGAGGGCCAGTTAATTCACCAAATGCCCCCTTAACAGCTGGTCCCCTCAGCTCCCATTATGGGAAAGATAAAGTGACACGATATCCTGAACCCTGGCATCTTGCTCTGCAGTGTCTTCTAGAGACTTTGCACATCAGTGTCAGCCCCTCCCTGGAAAGCCAGGTCCTTGTGTCCTACTTACAGGGGCCACAGGGCTAGGGTTCCTCCAGGGAGCCACCAGTTCCGAGTCCTCAGTGGGTGACCTGCCATTGTGGACAGTACAGATCTCTGTGGGATGTGGAGCGTGTCTGACATATGCCTCTGACCTGAGCACCCTTCCAAACATGGCAGCCCTTGGGGTGAAGAGCCTGGGCTGCAGTCAGGGGTCTAGGAGCCTATTGTTGCATATTTCCCCCCAGACTCCACAGTGTTCTCAAACAGATGGAAACCTCCATATGTTTCCCAGGGCCCTTGAGGAATCACACCTGTAGGTGGTGGCAGGGAAGTTTGGTGTTAGCTACGTTATCTGGCTCTTACCCATCATGATCCCCTGTTTTTCCTGGTTCCCAGGACTAGATGATGTTGATGATGATTGACCTTTTTGAGACAGGATCTCCCTGTAGCCCCAGCTGACCTGGAACTCCCTATGTCTCACAGAGATCCAACTGTCTTTGTTTCCCAAGTGCTGGGACTAGAGGTGGTGCCACCACACCTGACATGGGACTAGATTCTTAAAAAGCACAACTGTTTGTGTCTGCACTTGTCTTCCTAGTGTACATAAAGCTACCTGTTGTGCCAGGAAATAGCTTTGGGCCAGTGCCCAGTTCCCTTTCCCCTCTAGTATTCTGGCAGGAGGTACCTTTGCCCTAGAGACAGAAAGTGGAGAGGGGTGTTTCTCTTCCCCAGAGGATATAGCACCGAGCACATGCCTTCACTTACCCAGAAGGGTAACCACAGATCTCTGAAAAGACAGCCCCTGGGGACTTAGGGACCCAGGGACCCGGAGACCTCAGCTGGGTGTGGCATTCCCTTTCCAGGCATTCAGTCTGGGGTCACCTCTCCTGGAGTTCTGTGCCTCTTGAAGACACAGTGACTCCAGCCAGTGCGTCTGTATGGGAGAGAAACGGGTGTCACTCGTCTGTGCTTCCTGGTTCTCCTGCCCTTGACTGTTACTGCTGCCCTTCAAGCCTCCACAGCATGCAGCCCTCCATCCTTCCTACTCTGGCTCACCCCAGCCTCACAAGTGGCATCAGGCTGTGTAAAGCAGATCCATACACAAAAATCCCTTGGTGCCTATCTTGGAAGCTTGTGGGCCCAGGCTTTCCCTTCAGACCATCCAAGTGCCTGCAGGTGGCTTTGCATGGCTCATGGTACTTGGAACTTATTGTCCCACTCTCAAGAATGCAAAGGGCCTCTGAGGCCACTGTTGGTTAGTGGCCAGAATGAGATGCTCACAGCCTGATCTGGTCCCAAGTCCAGCTCTTCCTTTGCACCCTGCCTTCCTTAGGATATGACCAAGAAAGAGCTTGGACCAGGGCAGCAGGGGAATGCAAGCAGTCTCAGGTCACTCTGGTGGCTGGAACCATTTCTCTCTTGTGAAGGTAAAGTGGTTGTTCAGCCTTCTGAGGGGCTAGCCATGGGCCCAAGACAACTGAGCAGCCACTGTTGGAATGAGATGCTCACAGCCTGATCTGGTCCCAAGTCCAGTTCTTCCTTTGCACCCTGCCCTCCTTAGGATATGACCAAGAAAGGGCTTGGACCAGGGCAGCAGGGGAATGCAAGCAGTCTCAGGTCACTCTGGTGGCTGGAACCATTTCTCTCTTGTGAAGGTAAAGTGGTTGTTCAGCCTTCTGAGGGGCTAGCCATGGGCCCAAGACAACTGAGCAGCCACTGTTTCTCACTTCATTTCTCATCTGGTTTCTCTCTGTTGGAGAGTCCCAGAGTCCCAGAAAACTATGTGGGTAATTGCACCTGCTGGCCATCAGCCCCGGTAGAGCTCCTCCTGGTGGAAGGGAATCCTGTAGATGTAAAGGAACCCTTCCAAGTGTACAATATGGGATAAGTCAGCACAAGACAAAAAGAGGACCATGTCTCACCACAGAGAGGAGCAAATGGCTCTGTGGAAATTAATGCCACTCTAGGGCCAGTTAATGCCACCTTGTGACCTGCATCTGCCAAGCTGCCTCCACCCCATTGATTCCTTGTTCTTGGACTTTGGCCACTGAAAGGAGTCAGAGTTACTCCTGTATTTGTCAGAAGTCAGTGTGCAGGTGGAGTTAGGGTTGGGGTGGTGGTGGAGATGGTTG